TCCCTGTCTTACTGAAAAGCATTACGACAGAATGTGAGGGTGAGCTGATGACAAGAGCCATATGTTTCAGAAATTTGGGAGCTTCAGAAAACACAATGCAGAAATACACCACAACCCATGTATATACCAGTTTTTTTTTTTTTTTTTTACAAAACTGAGATCTGATGGCCCTCTTTATGTTGTAACCAACTTTATTCTTTAACTTTATACCAGCGTTATGGTTTGGCTCTGTGTCCTCACCCAAATCTCACCTTGAACTGTAATCATCCCCACATATCATGGAGGGGACCCAGGGGGAGGTAAGTGAATCACAGGCAGGTTTCTTTTTTCCCCTGCTGTTCTCATGATAGTGAATAAGTTTCATAGATCTGATGGTTTTACAAAGGGGAGCTCCCCTGCACATGCTCTCTTGCCTGCCACCGTGTAAGAGGTGACTTTGCTTCTCCCTCCCCTTCTGCCATGATTGCGAGGCCTCCCAGCCATGTGGAACTATGAGCCCATTTAACCTCTTTTTTTTTAATAAATTACCCAGTCTCAGGTTTATTAGCAATGTGGGAACAGACAAATACAACTGGGAACACATTTTGTATGCCTTTAGACACTTAATTCTATAATGGCATTCTTAATGATTGTCTTATATTCTAGAACCCAACAAAACCACAATGGTGTTTTTAACCAATCCCCTACTGTTGGACATTTAGGTTCCTTCGGACATTTCATTCTTGGAAATGGTGTTACAGTGAGCAACCTGCATCATACAGCCCAGTGCTCACCTCTGACTGTTTCTTCAGGACCAATTCCCTCTCTGCACCAAGCTGGAAGTCAAATCCAGGCTGCAGAAGGAGGCAGAGGTCCTCTTTTGTTCCTTCTGCTCTGAGTAGAGCTGAGTGGTCTTCAAAGGCTCCCCACACATTCCCCTCTCCTCACCACAGCCTTGCCCAAGACCTGCGTTTTTCAAAATTAGAGTATCCCATGAGGGCAAATTTGGATATCCTCAGAAAATCCTTTTTGTGGATTCAAATGCATTTATCCAAAAGGAACATGTAGTGTTTGACATTCTATTCACACATATATCAATGTGGTGTCTAGGCTGCTTGAGATCTTAAGCAAGTCCATTCCCTTCTCTGGGGCTCAGTTTCCTTCTCTGCATGATGAGTGGATGAGATGGCCCCAGAGTCCCTTTCTGCCCCATCCTACCAGGGAAGCTCTGAAAGTGCTGCATGATAGAGAAGGGGACTGAGTGCGGCCTCTGCCAACCTAGCTTTGAATACCAGCCTTGTGAAATACTGTGTGACCTCCTGCAGCTTCCTCGAGCTCTCTGTGCCTCAGTTTCCCCTGCTATGTAATGAGGTAACAGTAATGTCCACACCACACATCACAGGCATGTGGGGAAGAAACAGTGAGATTCACCTAAGCCACCTCTTGATACAGTGCTCAGCAAATCAACATTTATTATGATAATAAGACTTGGTCTTTCAAATTCTTTATCTCATTGACCACACTGATTTTGTCCCTGTTTTATCAATGAAGAAACGGGCTCAGAGAAACAGTGGAACTTATCTCAGGTCACATGCCCAGCTCAGGGGCACAGCCAGGCTTATCCATGCTCTGACTCCCACTCCAGAGCTCTGTGCCTCTGGAAGGCAGAACCCCAAACAGTGGCCCAGCCCTGCAGTGTTCCAGGGACAGTGCAAGACCCTGTGGCTGAGAGTTGAGCCTGTGGTTCTTTCATTCCCCCTCCCCATATTTGACCAGGCTCTACACAGAGGCGCGTCTTTCACAGCCCAAGCATGGGCAGCTAACAGGAGTGGGCAGCAGCACACAGCACCTCAGGTGGTCAGAAAACAATGTCAGGTGCTGCTGAGCTGGCAGAGCCAGAATGGCCAATATGCTTTTGTCAAGATTTCTTAAAAAGTGAAACTCAGAGGAACATTTTCCTCCCCAAAATAAAAGGTGTGTGGCCCACCTGGTAGGTCCAGGCATGGGCCCAGCAGCAGAGGGGAATGGAAGACCTTTCCCCTCATGGTGCCTCTGGATAAGCCTCAGCCAGTGGGTGGCAGAGCTGGCCTGGCCACAGGAGACTCAACGCTGCCTTTAGTCTCTGCTCCAAAACACCATGGAGTCTGTGCTCCACTGGCTCAGGGAGTGCTGGGGCCCTTCCACCTCCCCGGGCTTTACCCTGGGGATGGTGACACAGGTCTTCTCTGTTCCCAGGCCCTCCAGACCTCCGTGGATGAGGAGCAGAGAAGTATCCGGGCAGGCATGTGGCCCATCTTTGAGGCCCACCCAGCAAAGGCCCAAACCCCTCCCTATCTCTCCCCCAGCTCAGGAAATCACCCTGCACCTTCCAGATCTTTGGGTTCTTTCCATCCTCCACCACCTGCCACCACCTCCATCCCTCACTGCTACACACACATCTGGGCTTCAGTTTTGATACTCAAAAGGCAAAAAACTGACTACTGACTTCCACTGGGTCATCCCTACCCTGCAGCAGTGAATTTTCTGAGTCCAACTGCCCTATAAAGAAAGAGGAAATGCCAGAGAAGGAAGAAAGATTAATATTTCAAGAAAGAAAACCATCTGGCCATATAATTTTACATTTATTCTTATGATCAATTAATCTCTGTCCTCCCTTAGACCATAAATTCCATGAGGGCAGGATCAGCATCTGGTTGGCTTGCTGTCCTATCTCCAGTGTCTAAGACAGGGGACCTAACACACAAGGAAGAACGAAGACAAAAGAATGAAGAGCCAGCCATCCTCCTCTCTTAGGCATCCTCAGCGAGCTCAGAAAGGACCCCTAGAAGCACAGAACGAAGAGGCTGAACCAGACCTGTGGTTGCTGAGCTGGGGTCTATGAAGGCAGTTTTGTGAATCCCACTTTCAAGATTTAAAAAAATCGAACAAAGTCAATACTCCTCCCTTCCTTGGGAAAGCTTATACAAGATCACCAAGATGGTAGCCTCACTGAATTTTCTCAACTGTCCAGGGACTCTGGTTAGCTACTGATGACATCACAGAGCCCAACCCAATTCCAGCTTATGTGCCCAGGACTGCCAGTGTCTACATGGCATTAAATGAGTATGTGACAGCCATTGGCTACCCTGCACGTGTGAGTTATGGCAGAAAAAATGTGGCAAGGAACACAATGCAGTGTCCCCCAAGGATCCAAATGAGCTTTGATGGAGAGGAGTTTTGGGACCCCAACTTAACAGATGCTTGGAATTCCTCCCAGAACCAAGCACCTCAAGTGGGCACTTTCTTTCCCAGACCACTTTCTTCCTCATCAAAAATACCCTGAACCCAGGTGCAGAGTGCACACACCAGCACTTTGAGAGGCCTATATGGGAAGATGGCCTGAGCCCAGGAGTTCGAGACCAGCCTGGTGAAACAGTGAAACCCCATCTCTACAAAAATATTTTTTTAATTAGCTTGGTGGCATGCATCTGTAGTCCCAGCTACTTAGGAGGCTGAGGTGGAAGAATGACTGGAGTCCAAGAAGTCAAGGCTGCAGTGAACCGTGGTGATGCCACTACACTCCAGCCTGGGTGACAGAGAGAGACCCTGCCTCAAAAAATAAAGCTGAAAAGGAAAGAAGCAAGCATAATGCCTGCAGAGGCTCAAGAAGGGCTTGAGCACTGGGGCTTCTCTCTCACTGCCTCTGAAGCTCTTTTACCACTCTGTGAACAAGCCCAGGCTCATGGAGAGAGGCCCCATAGTTCACATCACAGATGAAGCCAAATTAATCAGCCAGTTCCAGGGATCCACCATGAGTGGCAGACACATGAGTGAGCCCATCCAAGATCATTCAAGCCTTGCCCAGACCAGGACAGCTCAGCCGATCCCAACAGAAATTGCTGATTCCCAAATCACAAGCTACATGAATGTTTGTTGCATGAATCCAATGAGTTGTGAGGTGTTTGCTGCACAGCAAAAGCACCTGACAGAGATGAAGTCATTTGTCCAAGGTCACACAGCAGGGTGGGAATTCAAGCCCAACCTTTCTGTGCAGTTAAGAACAGGGACTCTTAGCACTAAAGCTTTAGTGTTTACAGAGTTCATTTATTTTCATTGCAGGTCCCTAGTGAGTCTGTGAATCAATCATCTCTGCACAGAAACTCAGAGGTGTCAAGGGACCTACCTTAGGTCACACAGCTGGTCAGAGCTGGCAGACAGCATCCAGCCCAGTTCCTTTAATTCCACCTTCCTGCTGTTCCCGCCACTCCATGAAGGCTAGATCAGCCAGAGCCCAGGATGCTGGTTTACAAATCAGCTTCTTCCTCAACCTCCGAGGTCTCCCACAATCCTCCTATGTCTCATGAATGGCCCGAGCTGCTCCCTCCCGCCACGAGTTTCTCAGACAGAACAGGTGGCACCCTCACCAGGGAGTCAGGATGGTGGACCCGCCCCTGCCCACCCCTCACCCTCCCTTCTCTGCATAGTAGGAACTGTTGGTTGTCCTGGATACAGCAGATAATGAGAAGGATGGCAGCTGAGGTCACAGCGTGAACCAGGACGGCTATGAGCAGGGAAAAATGGCTTCCCAGACACACTTGTGCCCTTTTGGCCAGCCTGGAGTGAGAGAAGAGGGCGTGGGGGGGAGCTAGTCATGCCCACACTAGCATAGGAGACCTGAGGTCCCATGAGATCCCCAGGAAGAAGAGGATAGGCTGGGAGTAGGGGAGGCCAGTCAACCGCCAAGGCCTCCCATGTCTAATTGCAAGGCAGTGGAGAGAGAATGCCACATAGCCATGTGGAGTCCCATGAGGTGGAAACAGCCATTCGAGGGTCCAGCTGAGGCCCTGGCCTGATTGAGTAGCTACCAAATAAGGACCTAGGAACGAGGTCTGCTTCCCAGAGGAGGCACTTGAAGGGACAGAGTCCCTCTACCTCCACCAAAACCATAACATAAAAGAAGAAGAGGCAGCTGTGGCCCAAGGCAAAAAAAAATGCCTTAAAGCCATTCTGACCTGGAGTTGACGCCCACATCCCCTCCCTACCATGCTGGACAGGTTCCTGGACATCTCCAATCCTCAGCTTCTCATCTGGCAAATGTGGGCAGTCAGCACACATCTCACAGGTTGTTGCAAGGCCTAAATGAGAAAATACAGTGAGAGCTTCTTGTAAACTGCAAAGGCTGTATACATGGAGGTGATGCAGGGACGCCATGACCCCACTGTCCATCTGGCTCCTCCAGACCCAGTGGTCCTCCAGCCCTGGACGAAACCCCATAAACTCCATTTCTTAGAGCTCAAAGGGCTCGTTAGAAACCATCTGGTCCAAATGGTCTGATTTTACAGATAAGGAAATCAAGACCCAGAGAGAAAGGCTTTGCCCAGAGTCTAACAGCCAGTGAATGTGGTGCTGGCCCTAGAAGCTGGTCTCCCAACTCAGGTTCTTTCTACTCCTTCATGCTATCAAAGCTCACCCCGACCCCCTGCACCCCATGTCTCTCCACTGTGGGCTGCCCCTGGGTGGAGCTGAATCAGGGAAACGTTTCTCTGCTCCCTCATTAGCTAACATTTCCCCTGTTTTGAGGGAAGCGATGCTGCTGAACCACGTTAGGAGGCTGGGCCTCCCCCAGGAGCCTCCTAGACAGTATCTGTGTTCCAGAGAATTTAAAGTCCTGGGTGCAGCCTTGTGAGAGACAGCAGAGATTTTAAAGCCTTTGGGGGTCCCGCCAATCATATCAGCAGCTGCCCTTGTCCTAATTGGGGTCACCAATGGCTTCACCACAGCCCTGAAGAGAACTACCTCACCCCATCCCAGCTGTAGGAGAAAGATTAAAATGTTTCACATCCTAGACATAATCCAAAGTTCACGATGGTTACCAGAGCTGACTTACCCTTTTAACTCAGCGTGCTGGAAAGTGTGTTTTCCCCTTGCACCTTGAGGGGTGTTGCATGTATTTTGACTTCAGTCACAGTGCCCCGTCTTTCCAAGGCCCACTCAGCCATCTGCTCGCCAGTGGAGGAGAGTCAAGGGGTCAGTCCGGCTCAGAGCCCCTCTTTGGAACTATCCTCGGATATCACCCTCCCTGAGGTGTCTGCCACCCTCGCTCCAAACTCTCCAGATTAAGAGCCAAGCTCCTCACTCTCTTCATCTTTCCCAGGGTCTTCCAGCTCTAGCCAGCCCACCAGATGTCCAGCTCAGCACCCATGCTTCAAGCTGCCAATGGGCAGAGTGGCCAGCCAAGCCCAGTGGAGACAGGCCAAGCCCAGACTCAGTCCCAGCCTCATCCTCCAGGCCAGCAGGCGAGAGCAGCTGAGATAATGATGAGGCACTCCAGCCCCATTTCTGAGCCCCACCTTGAGCCTCAGTTTCCTCCTTTGTAAAGCAGGAATGAGTGTACCTTCCTCCCAGAGCTGCTTGAGGATGAAACAAGACAGCAGGCATAGACACCTTGCCTGAGGAGGCTTCCAAAAGGATCTGGTCCTCACCTCTTCCCAGGGACAGGCTCGGTGAGCCTCCTCCCTACTTCCCTTGGGCCTGAAGATCGTATTGGTCTTGACCTCTCCCTGTACCTCTGACCCTGGCTTTGTCACATCGTTACATGTTGGTGCCTGCCTGGGGTGTGTTCTTTCATTGTAATTTTATTTATTCTTTTGAATAGGAAACACTTGGTACAAAACTCAAAAGACAGAAAGATATATACAGGGAAGAGTAAGTCCCCCTTTCCCAGTCATTGAATTCCCCTCCTTAGAGGCAACCATTGCTCCCAGACCCTAGCAATCTAGCAATCTAAGAATTCTCTACACTTTTATAGGAAAACATGCACACATATTTACATAGGCTTTTCTATCATGCTCATTGTTCTGCACCTTGCTCTTTCTCTACCCAAGAGCCTGTCTCAGCAGTCCTCCCCAGGACACGGAGAGCTTCTTTCTTTTAGCGGCTGTATAATATTCCATTGCCTAAGCACACCATCATTTCTTTTCTTTTCTTTAACTTTTTTTTTTTTTTTTTGAGATGGTATCTCACACTGTTGCCCAGGCTGGAGTACAGTGGCATGATTTTGGCTCACTGAAACCTCCGCCTCCTGGGTTCAAGCAAGTCTCCTGCCTCAGCCTCCCAAGTAGCTGGGATTACAGGCACATACCACCACGCCCAGCTAATTTTTGTATTTTTAGATGGGGTTTCACCATGTTGGCCAGGCTGGTCTCAAACCCTGACCTCAGATGATCTGCCCACCTCAACCTCCCAAAGTGTTGGGATTATAGGCATGAGCCACCACACCTGGCCATACCATCATTTCTTTGCCAATTGCCTATGCCTGGGCTCTTCTGTTGTTTCCCTATCAAACTATTACAAACAATATCTCAATAAACCATCATGTTATCTGCAGGATAAACCCAAGAAGCTGAATCTCTAGGTCAAATAATACATTAATTTATAATTTTGATAGATAATGTCAGTCTGGCCTCCATAGAGGTAGTAACAGCATTATGTGAGATTGCTATTTTCCACACCAATTTCAAGCCAGTGTGTATTTGGAACTTGCTCAGTCTGATGGATAACAATGAAATGATTGGCTACTCTTCATTTTCATTTCTCTCATTATGGAAGAGAATGAGCAACTTTGCACATGCTTAAGGGGTATTTGTAGTTCCTTTCCTACAAACTGCCCATTTCCTGACCTTTCTTCTAGGTTGTTTTTCTTTTTCTTATTTATTTGGAAGCACTCTTTACATATGAAGGAATCTAGCTTTTGTCTGTGATATGAGCTTTAAGTCTTTTTCTCAGTACTTCATTTATCTTTTGATTCTGTTTATGGTGTTTATTTATATGCAGATTTTTCAAATGTCATCATGTTTACTGATGTAAATTTTCTGGAGTGTCTGGGGTGTGTGTCACACTTAGAAACCCTCTGAGTTTTAAACCTTGACCCAAACTGAGTTTCCATGCTGGTGTCTAGCTTGACCTTCCCATTCTGGTTTGACCCACTGCCATTGTCGGCACCTGCTACCTCTACCCAGTTTCTCCCGGACAGTTTCTTCTTGGCCTTGGCCAGACACCCCACTCCCCTTGTCACTGCTGTTTCCCCCATCCCCGGCCCCTGCAGTTTGATTTTTGGCATCTCACCACTTCTCCAGCCCCCCAGCTTCCGTGCATGTACACTGTGTTCCTAGCCTGCCCAAAGCCCTCTGGCCCCTACTCAGGACCCTGCCCCTCCAGAGGAGCAATGCTGTTACCACTCCTTATTCATCTCCTGTCTTTCCAGCTGCGGATCGCACTGCTCTAGCACCCAGCCTTCCACATCCACACACTTCAAACCCTGACCTTGAAGCTCTGATTCCTGAGCCCTAGTTGAAAGGGTAGGGGATACAGTGGGTAAATAGCGGGAGGAGGAGTCCAAAGAGGAGGCAGAAGTGAGTCTTTCCAAGTCCTCTGCTAGCAAATTCCAAAGTGGCTTCCTCCTTCACAGCAACTTAGCCAAATTTCTATCTTTATTAATCAAATAACAAATTTAATTAATTACTTTAAATTGCTTTAATTGAATCTAGAACGAGAACGTGGACAAAATCCCAAGAAGTAATGAACCCAGGCACTTCCAGCAGCTGGAGTTGAAATGATCTTTAATTTCAATTTGGGAGCAAAAATAATGTGACTGCAGTGAAACCCTCCCCCCGCAGCCTGCTCCCTGACAGCTTCGTTACTGCCAGCAGCACTGACAAGGCCTCTGCTCCCTGCTCTTTCACCCTGCTTAGCAGCAATATTCTCCCTGCCTCAACTTGTCTCAACTGAGAAATGGGTTCAGACCCCACCTGCAAGTGTCCTGTAGGTACTGGAGTGCAGGCAGTGCTTGGAGATTGTCCAGTAACCAACCAGGGAGCCCCAACATTAACCAGACAGCAATGAAGTTCTCAGGAGCGAGGCACAGGCTTGCCTCCATGCCGTTCCCGGGCTGTGCTCCCTTCCAGGAATGCCTTTCTTTGCCCTTTTCCAGCTGTTGCATCCTTGCCTTCGTTCACATGGCAACTTCAAATGACCCTTTCAAAGGAAAGCTCTCCCCATTCCCGTCGCAGAAAGGAGTTAGAGAGACGGAAGTTTCTTCCCTGGTTGGCCATTGCCCTCAGAGTAGTAGCTCTGGGCCAGCAGGAGGGAAAATGGAACACAATCAAATTCTTGTCGGCAGGGATTGAGGTGGGAAGAATATATTCTCTAGATATGAAAGATGAGCAGACGGAGGCTCAGAGAAGTGAAGTGATTCACCCAAGATCGCACAGCTGGCTAGTGGTCAAGCCACACCTGACTCTGGCCCTGACACAGCTGCCTTTCTGGCCCTGGCTGGGTGTCAGGAGAAAAGCCCAAAGTCCCGCCCAAAGCCCCATCTTCCTGTCTTCTCTCCACCCGAGCCACCAGATCCCATCAGCCCCCTCTCTCCCTGCTCCCTCGTACCCTCTCCCTCCTCTGATCCACCCGCCCTTGCCTCCAGGCCTCTCTCCATCCTGGGCATGCCTTCATTCCAGCCTCACCTCCAGGTGCCCTGTGTTAGAAAGAATGCTAAGTCAGCCAAGGTACTCCTGAGTCTTTCATTCTTATTATCATGGTTATTATTTTGTATTACTATTTTACTATTAGTCTCCCCCTCAGCTGCCAGGTCTCTGGTGGCATCCTTTTTATTGTGCCATGCTCCTGCTCAAACACCTGCCATAGCTCCCTATTACCTATGTCCTCCAGTTTAAACATTTCTTAAGGCTATTAAGATCCTCCAAAAGTTGGCTCCATAGAGGTCAGGCAGCTCCCCCAACATACTCTATGCTTCTGGGAAATTTACTCAACTTTTTTGAACCTAAAGTGGACATTGTAATCCCTACCTTGTAAGATTGTGCTGAGGATACAATGAAAAGAAACCTATGAAGGCCAGAGCAGTGCCTAGCATCTCAGTAGCCTGCAGAAAATGTGAGTTCTCCTTCCATCCATATCTCCTGCCCCTCTAATCTTACCTCCCACTGGGAGGCCACACAATTCTCAACTTTACCCAGGATGGGGGCTTCAATTCTCCAGGATACCTTTTATAGAAAAATCCCTGCCACATCCTTCAAGGTCCAACTCAAATGGACACACACCCTAATTCATGATTCATATGGAGACTGGGAGCAGTACACAGTCTCTCGTCCTGTCTCCAAGTAGGATTTGGTGTAAAGCATCCCAAGAGGTGGAGCCCAAGCTCACTCTTCAGGGATAGGGACGAGGAATTCCCCATCAGCCAGGATCTCTCAACACCAGATTCTGGCTAGAGCGCTGCCCCATCCAGTACTCCATGACACTATCAGGGTCCCACCCATCCCCTCCAGAAGCATCTCTTCTCTTTCCATCCTCCCTGAAACAATCTGCTCCTTAGCAAAACCTTTTTAGGCATTAAAGCACATCACACCCTTCTTTTCTCCCAGAAAAGCTCTTATTTTCCTGAAATCTCAGGAGCCAGCTTTTCCTGCCAAGAATATTCCACCTCAGCCCAATCCCAGGAACTGCAAAGGGATCAAGATGCTTGGAGGGACCCCCTCTCACTCCCCTACACCCCTTTCTACTCTAGCTCCTGCATAAGGGAGCAACCCTCCCATTTACCAGGGGGAAAAGTAGGTCCCTAAAGGAAAAGAAAATTTGTATGTCCAAAGTCAAAGAGAGTTGGTGCACCTGGAAATGGAATAGAAGATATTGGTAATTCACCTTCCCTAGTGGGAGACCTAAAGCAAAGGTCATCCAGAAAGAATCAGTGTAATCAATAAGAGGCCCACTATAACATTTAGGGGCCCGGCCAGGCATCTCATCTCACCACCAGGGCCTCCATAACAAATCACCAAAAACTGAATGGGCTTAAAACAACAGAAGTGTAATCTCCCACAGTTCTGGAGACCAAAAGTCCAAAATCAAAGTGTCGGTAGGACTGCACTGCCTCTGGAGCCTCGAGGCGAGAGTCCTTCCTGGCCTCCTGCAGCTCCTAGTGGCCTTTGGTGTTCCTTTGCTTGTGGCACCCTAGTCTCTGCCTTTCATCACCCCAGTCTCTGCCCCGTCTCCACGTGCCCTTTTCCTCTGGGCCTGTCTGAAATCTCCCTCTTCTTTCTCTTATAAGGGCACCCATCTGGATACTCTTATCTCAAGACCCTTAACTCACTCACATCTGCAAAGACTCCACTTCCAAATAGGGTCTCACTCACAGGTTCTGGGGCCCAGGCCTTGGATGTACCTTTTGGGAGACACAATTCAACCCATTACACCGCATGAGCCCTACCAGCCACACCCTGGGCCTCGCTGCCTCTAAAGAAGATCTCTCTGGGTTTGCCCAAAGGGGCTTGAGCAGCCTCAGCCTGGGAAACTGTTGGCCTGTCCCAGTCCTCTGATCCTACAGACAATGGCCCAATCTCTTTTGGACCCTCCCTGATGACCTTCATTAGAGGGGTCCTGGAAATTCTCCGTGGGTGAAGCATGATGTGACCTCAGAAGCCAGGCCCTAGTGCCAGGGAGATGGAGTTTCATCCCTGGCTCGACCATCTGTCAAACCTGTGACTTTATATAACACCCTGTGCCTCAGTTTCTCCATCTACAAAATAAAGGCGTTAAAATCCTCATTGGTGGCTCTTTGTATTAGAAAGAACATAGTCAGTGCCCCAGCAGGGCATGCAGTTGGTGTTCATAACCAGTTACTATCATTGCACCCCCACCATTCATTTATTCCCGGAGAATCATCTCCCCCATCATCTGCTGCAGGCCCACAGCCTTCCTCTCAGTCTCCAAGGTGCTCAGGAAATTTGTTATCCTCTTAGTGTCTCCTGAAGGATATTTTATTCCCATTTTACAGATAAGAAAATGCATTAATATGGGTGGCACTGTTTGCTCCAAAGACAGTCCCCCATTGTTAAGGGAACACTGAATGAATCATGGAGATATTTGTTTTTTGAGGTCTGTTTATTTTGACTCCCTCCAGTCTCCCACCGCTTGGTCACCCACGGCATGGCTGTCACTAGAAGCAACACTCAACATAGTTTGTCCTTCCCCTACATTCATTCCCCTATCCTGGCTCACGACACATCTGGGGGTGGGGGTGGGGCAGGGCAGATGTCATTGCCATTTTTACACCCATCTTGCAGATGATGAAACTGAGGCTTAGAGAGGAGGAATCTAGTTCCTAAGATCACAGCACTTTGTACTGGCAGTGGCAGAACTCAGGTCTTCTGCCTTGTAATTAGCGCTCCATCCATTTCACTACACAGTCCAGAACTCATTCATTAAACAGTGAAGGTATAAAAACAACTACCATGAAATATTATCACAACCCTGAAAGGCAGAGATTCCTTTCATCCCCAATCAAGAAATGAGAAAGTTGAGGCTCAGAGAGGATCACAGCATCAGGATTTGAACTTAGGTCTCTGTGCCTGCTCCCAAACGCTCCCAAACCAGCTCCATACCCATTGTGCTGCACTGGCTGCTTCAAGAACCTGCTCCACCTGAACTCTGAAAACCATTCATGGTCCCTGCCCACAAGACACTCCAGTCTTGGAGGGGAGGTAAGTCTAGGTGGCCAGGGGCCAGCTCTCTACGAGACAAACAGATTCCAGTGCATGCTCAGAGGGCAGCACAGCTTCGTCCCCTCTGAGAGGAGCTGCCCTCTCCTCCTCAGAGCTGGATTGAGATGGGAGTAGGGCTAGGGGGCTGCCATTCTGAGAACATCCTGCCCACCCCATCCCTGAGATGTCCATTTAGGTTGGGGACAGGGCAGAAAGATTTGTTGCTGGTGAGGCTCACTGGGGCTATGGGGCTAGGGCTTTTGGAGGCTCTTCCAATCAGGGAGTTGAGGCCAGGAGACCTATGGTGAGTACTGGCCAACCCAGCAGAGGGAGCAGATGTCTCAGCCTCTCCCTGTTCCCTGGCAAACCTCATCTTTTATAAATAGTTGTACTTGTTGGGAGCCAGAGAGAGTTGAGGCTTCAGCATCTCTGACAGCCCGGCAGAGCCAGGCCCGTCTGCCTGGAGCTTTGCGTGTTCACATAACACCCCCTCCCCATCCTGCAGCCCAATCGCCATGAGGGTGTCATTGCACCCAGGATGCATGGCGTCTTGGCATGTGCTGGCTCCACGTGGCTGGTGGGTTGTGTGGGCTCTTGGGCAAAGTAGCCAAGCAATCAGAAAGGACTTTAGAACAGACGGATTCTGGAGGTAGTGAGCTCCTCATCCCTGGAAGGGTTCCAGGGGAGCTGGAGGGCTGTGTAACAGACATGCAATAAACGAGCTTTGGGCTCTGAAGAATGGTGGGGGAAGAAGGAAAAGGCTGGGCCACATGATCCCAAAGGGTCTCACTGTACATCTGGGGTGGTGTATGTGGGGACTGTCAGGGTCACAGGTGACTTAGCAAGACTGTGACCTCGCTCCCAAGCTTTAAGATGCCCAGGAAGCTTACCTGTGTGGGCTCCTGGAACCCTCTGCTTCATGCGTGAGCCCAGCAATTTCTCTGAATTCAGAAATGCCAGGAGAGGTTCTGTCCAGCATGTGGGATGCATTGCTCATTAACTGCTCATCACTGAGCATTTATGTAGCTCCTACAAAACACACCAGGGGGACTGCCAGCTCCCAGGCTTTCTGAGAAGCCCTGTTGCTGGGGCAATGTTCCACAGTTCCTCTGATCTGCGGGGAACCCCTGTTAGAGTAGGGAACCTGTGAACCACCTCAACCTTGGAAACTCCCCACTTTCTAAAGCTGAACCTTTAGGAAATCCTTGACCTCTGGGATTGGAGATGAGCGTTCCCAGTCTTAAGCCATCAGGACAGGGACCAAGTCTGTCTTATTCCCTGCTTCTCTTGGCCATGGTGGCATTTAAATAACCGTGAACCAAATGAATGAATGACTGAGTAAACAAATGATGTAAAAGTCACTTCATCACCTCCTTGCAGGAAGCCCGAGTCATCTGTGAAGCATGCCCTCTGTGCTCTCTCTGAGGAGGTAGGGGACAAACATGAGGCTCTAAAAAGGACATCACCTCTGGAGTCAAACTAACTGGGTCCCAGTCCTAGCTCTGTCTCCTATTGGGTACATAACCTTGGGCGAGTTCCTCAACGGCTCTGCTTCGTTAGCTGCAAAACAGAGATAATAATCCCTACCCCATAAAGATGCCATGAGAACATTCTGAGATCATTTTTAAATTGCCCAGCATCTAGTCAGCACTCCATAAATGGTGCTGGTGGTAGTCGTTAGTGCCATTCTCCAAATGTTTGTGGTTCTCTTTCCAAGCACATGGTAGAATCCTACTTCCCCACCTTCCTGACACTGGACGTGGCCATGATTTGCTTTGGCCAATGCAATGAAACAAGAAGTGATGTTTCTCTCTTTGATGGAGGCTTTAGGAGGTCACACATAATTCACCACATTCTTTTCTTCCTGCTTCAACAATCTTAGCAGCAATAAGGTGGAGTCACAATTCAGCCTGGGTCCTGGAATGAGGAAGACATGGGGCAGATCTCTCCAGCGGCCCCGGATGGCAAGGCACGAGGTAGGTTGTAAAGATGAAAGATGGCCACAATAATTCCTCCTCTCCCTATGTGCCTTCTCCTTTGCGAGGTGGCTTTGCTACTCCTCCCATCCAGAGATGAAGTCTGTTCCTACAAGCCTTGAACCTCCTCAACCATGTGATTTCCTTCGGCCAATGGCATATTTTTAAATATGATGCAAGAAGGGGCTTGTGAAGTGCTTGCATATTGGCGCTTGCCCTGTTTCGTGGCTGGGAAGGAACCCTTCTACTATGTGGAAAAGCTTCAGCTAGCCTCCTAGAAGAAGACCACATGGAGTGAGCAAGCCCCCAACTGTCCCAACTAAAATCCCAAACACTTGAGTGAGGCCACCTTAGATCTTCTAGCCCCATCTGAACTAACACAGGCAGAAATAACCACCCAGTGAACCCACAGAATCAGAAAAAATATTAAATGTTTTTTGTTTTGAGCCACTAAGTTTCAAGAGGTTTGCTACTTGGCAAAGGCTAACTGACAGGATATAGCATGAATGGGAAATAAACCTCAGTGTATTAAGCCACTGATATTTGGGGATGTTTATTACTGCAGCATAGCCTTGCCCATTATTCTGATTAATATGGTATTTCCTTCCAATTTCCCTGTGGGAAAGGAAGTACATTCCAATTAAGTTTCAAGTTTTATCCTCTACGGTTCTCCTCCTGTTCACCACTGCCTCCCACTCAGCCACTCTCCTTCCTCATGGTCCAGGTAGGAGCTCCTGTTATCCCCCATACCACAAGGATGAGTTATCTACTAGGTGCATCATGGAGCCTTCTGCTCACCTGCCACTTCTGAGCCAAACTCTCCAGGGCTGTATGGGCCTTAGAGAAACTCTGTAAGAGGTGCCCGCATTGTGACTCAGTGTTCGTTCCGGACCCTGATGTGAGACCAGCTGGCCTTGGCCCACACTATGCATTCCCTGCCTCCCTTCATTCTCTTGCATACTCTCTGGCTGCAAGACATGGCAGAAAAAGGCACCAGCTTCAGCATCAGATGCACCTAGATTCAAATTCCAGCTCTGCTGTTTAACTTTCCATCCTGGGCCAAATGCAGTGGCTTACGCTTATAATCCCAGCCTTTGGGATCTTGTAATAATTTTCTGCTTTTTGGAGTCTGAGGCAGAAGAATCGTTTGAGTCCAGCAGTTCGAGACCAGCCTGGGCAATTTGGAGACCCCATCTCTACAAAACAAATAAACAAACAAAAAGGTCCCAGCTGCATGGGAGGCTGATGCAGGAGGATTGCTCAAGCCTGAGAGGTGGAGGCTTCAGTGAGCCATGATCGCACCGCTGCACTCCAGCCTAGGCAACAGAGCAAGACCCCATTTCCAAAAAATACCTATGTACGTATGTCCTGGCTCTGTCACCTCTTCTCCATGTGACCCTGGGAAAATTCTTTAATAACAAAGAGTCTCAGTTTCCTCCTTTGCAACCTGAGGATAAAAGCTCTGTTCACAAAGCTGCAAGAATGATAAATATAGTGTCTAGCTCAGCACCTGACACAGGATAGGCATGGAAGAAATGGTACCTGGGCATCATTTGGAGTCAGAGCATCCAGTGCTAAAGTTCCAGCTCTACCATTGACTGGCAATGTGTTCCTGGCCAAGTCACTTGGCTTCCCTGAACCTTAGTTTTCTTCTCTGCAAAATGGGCATTTAATTGTTTTTCTGACAGAAGTGGGGTAAGGGTTTTAAAAGGAAATATACATAAAGTGGGTGGCATGTAGTAAGTTCTAAAGAGGTGGCAATTTTTTCTCCACCCTTTAGCTTGCAAATTCCTTTGATGGCAAAGTGGTTTTACCTCTGTGCCCTTCCTCCCCCACCACCACACATACACACAAAGCCTACACACACACACACACACACACACACACACACAATCAGAACTCAGACAGGGTGGGCTTGTTGTAGAGGAAAAACAGATCCCAGTGACCCCAGATCCCTCTGGTGCAGGAGCAGTTTCTGCGTCTGTTCACCCCAGAGGGAGATAGCCTGGTTCTATCATGCATCACATAAACAGGAAGAACTAACAGAGCTGGGGTGGTGGGGAGACCCCTGTGAGCATCCCATCCACCGTCCTCCTCATCCTCCCCCACCTTGCCTCGCCCTCTCCCACAAGCATGCTCCAAGACTGCTCGAGAGCAGTTTCCATGGCGATAGCATTTTAAAGTTTTCTAGGAGCAGAACAGGAATAATTTTCCACCTTCTCCTCCTCCGTGGCAATCCGAGGAAAGGGAGCTTATTACAGATAAAGGGTGGGGTGAGGGGCAAGGAGGAGAGAAGCAGCTCTTTCTTTCATCACAGGACTGGAGAAGGTCATGCTAAAATTCCCCTCCAGCCCCCACTCTCTCCCCTGGTCTTCACCTACCTCTGCTTGGATGAAGAGATGGGATGGGTATGAGTAAAAGAAAAATGAGAGGAAAGATAAAAGAAAGAGAGAAAAAGTGGGCCAATGTGTGTCCAATCACATGCATGCACCACTCATAAACACAGTGGCTATAGGAAATTTCCACTGATCTCTTCTTGGGAAGCGATGTTCATCAATGGAGGAGAAAAGCTGAGTATTAGAAGCAGAGATGCTGGACACGGTGGCTCACCTCTGTAATCTCAGCACTTTGGGGGTCGAGGCAGGTGGTCACTTGAGGTCAGGAGTTCAAGACCAGCCTGGCCAACATAGTGAAATCTGGTCTCTACTAAAAAGACAAAGATTAGCCAAGTGTGGTGGTGCATGCCTGTAATCCCAACTACTTGGGAGGTTGAAGCAGGAGAATAGTTTGAACCTGGGAGGCAGAGTTACAGTGAGCTGAGATTGCACCACTGCCCTCCAGCCTGAATGACAGCGTGAGACTCCACCTAAAAAAATATATAAGATAGAAGCAGAGACATCTGTGTACCCTGGCTTTGGCTCATGATTGAGTCAGTCTACATGTTACAACTACCTTGTAGATATCTCCATAATCCACCAGCCCAAAGAGGGTCCATATACACTGTGAAGGGGTGTTGTGGTCATTATGCCTTCCAGTGAGGGTGGACACCATACTGTAATGAGGTGTGGGGAATGGGGTGCTCTTCTTCATTGATTCCTGCTTACCTTCACAGCCTCCTTTCTCTCAGCCCCCAGCTATTTTCCTTTATGCCTATTCTCCAGTCTTTGAAGGGTTTTTTGTTCCAGACTGTGGGCCCCTATCCAGTTTACATACAATTTCTTGCCAGTATCCCAGAGGCAGATACCATCCAGGAGAACTGTAAGGTGAAAATAGACTGTGAATGGCCTGCCTCCATTCCCCCGCTGGCATGGCTGTGAAGAAGGCATCTTCCCCAGAACAGGTGTGCCAGAACCCCCAACAGGTGCTAGAAAGCAGGCTGAGGATCAGGGTGGAAGCATAGGCTCAGATGGACCCAGAAAGATTTCTTCCAGGGCTAAGCTTGGCCAAACAAGTCACATGGGGATCATGCAGAAGACATCAGGATAAGACGATGGAAGAACCAGATTCCAGTTCTGATTCTGCCACTCACTAGCTGGGTGGACTTAAGAAAACCACTTAGCCTCTCTGAATCTCCTCTGTATTACCTTGTTTCCCAGCCTATCTGTCTTGTTCAAAAGGGCTATTTTGAAAATTCAAAATGAGAGCACTTCAAAAGTTAGCAAGTACCACACACTTGTAAGATATTTTCTTCTATGACTTTGTCAGTCAGTGATGAAGATAAGCTTAAAACCTGGTCTCAAATGTCGATCTAGAAATGTAGAATCCATTACAGGCATGAAGTGAGTAATGAAGTACTCTAGTGCCACAGGAGTGTGCTACGTGGCCTTGGACAAGTCACATGTTCTCTGGGGGCTTTGCTTCTTCTGCCAAAAGAGGACCTTTTAGGGCAGAAATCCAAGCCAGATGAGAGGCCAAGTCAAGCTAGAGTGTGATTCTGGGGTCAGCACCAGGGACAGTTCCCATGAGCCTGGGAGACCATCCTTGATCTGAGTTACCAGAGACCTGGATTCAAGTTCTCACCTTGCCTCAAACTTAGAGCATTATTTTGAGATGGTGTCTTCTCACTGTTCATAGGCCCAGGAAAGGTTGAGTTCTCATTTTAAAAGCTCACAACCCTTCTAGGGAGGCAGTGTGGTGCAGTGTTCAGGAGCACATCCTACTCACAAACAGGTGCTGGAGCCCAAGACTACCTGATGGGTTGCTCCTCCTTCCCCAGTCCTGCCCTAGGAAGAAGTGTGGTGGAACTTCCTTGGAGCTCTTTGGGTAGAAGATCTCTCCTCATGTATAGACCCTTGGGTTTCCTATGCCTTCCAGAATTACATCCATGTATTCATTGAGCTAGGCACCTTTCCATAATCCCTCTAATCTAGTTCCCATGATAACCCCTAATTAGTCATAATTATTCTTACTTTTCAAATAAGAAGCTGAGTCTGAGAGAAGGACACCAGTGGGCCCATTGTCCTTTCCATTTCACAGTGCTCATTCATGAATAAGACAGGCTCCAACTCTGCCCTTCCAGAAGGCACTGAAACCTTGGTTAAGTCACTTCCCCTTCTGGGTTGGATCAGAGCTCCAAGCTCCAAGCATCTCCACTTCCATCCCACAGAGGGGGCTGGGGTCTTGACCTAGGAGCACCAGATGTGGAGCCAGTAACCTCTCAGAGCTCACACCTACCCCAGGCCCAGAACTCTAAGGTGCCAATAAGCAGATACCCCTGCTCGGAGCTTGCTCTGAGCCAGTTCTCCCTTGGAGAGCCCTGGAAAATATGGCTCTGCTTCTTTGGCAAGAATTTTTCTTTTTTTAATAAAAAAATTATTTTGACAAAGGATTCTTTTAAGAAATGAATGTCAGCCTGACTGTAGAGAGTCAGTGTGTAATTGATGTAAGACACAGTGTTTAATTATAGCAGCACCCTTTAGCTCTGTCACCAGCCCCAGCACCACCCGTCCTCCTCTTATGGTCGGGGATAGGGAGAGGTCTGTGTGTCCCATAACTGTATCTCAGGGATCCAGACCAGCCTTTGACCATCAGGATGACCTGGGTCCTGACTGACCTATGAATTTCCAAGGCCAAGGTCCCACAGCCCCAGTAGAGTGTAACATTCACAAATGTTAAAGATGGGAAGCAACTCAGCTACCACCATATCTAACCCATCCATTTATAGCTAAGATCCCACAGCCCCAGTATAGTATGACATTCACAAATGTCAGAGATGGGAAGCAACTCAGATATCACCACATCTAACCCATCCATTTATAGACAGGAAAATTGAGAAACTCTCTTTGTAATGTGTATGCCAGGCTTCTTATGTCTTATTGCATGACCAGTGCTGCAGAGAAGAGGCAAACGTGACAGTCATTTTGCCCAGGCAAAGTGGAAAGACCCAGAGACACAGACTGGGAGGGGAAGAACAAGGAAGAAGCTGATGTGTGCTGGGCACCTATTACGGGCCAGGCACTGGGCTCAACACTTCTATAAATTGTATCATTTGGGTATAAGCCCCATTTTACAGATGTAAAAACTGAGGCTTACAAGATATTAAGTCACACCACCAAGACATGGATTCAGGTGTGCCAAGCCTCAAAGATTGAGCTCTTCCTGTTGAGGTGAGCTACAGTGGGCTCTCCTCTTAAGCAGCGGAGGTCTGGAGTCAAATCGACCTTGTTCCCTTCACTTCCTCACTTATTTCCCAGGATCAAGTGCTTGGTTGCCCTGTATCATCTTATCAAATAAAAGAGGCATAACTGCTTTCTGGACATAACTTGCCTTCTATTGGCTTAGCAGCCTCACCTTTCCCACTGGCGACATGCACACTTTTTGTCATTTTGGTTTTCTTATGATCTACAGATATGAAATGATGCCAGCAATATCCTTACCCCAGATACACCCCAAAATGTTTCAAGACACATGAGCCAGTCATCAGAAGGAGATGAAACTATTAGATGAGACTCAAAAGGACCAACATCTTCAACTCAGGGATGGAAGTAGCACTGGAGGGCTTGCTCTGGCTGCCCCTCTTTCTAAAGCACCTGCCACTCATCCTGGCTGTGTGATGATAAGGGATTGAGAAACACTGCAGTGCAGGGAAGGGTTTTTTGACTTACAGAAGCCTCAACTGAAACTTTAGATGCTTGGGAAATTCCTCTGCCTTCAATTCACAGCACCTCTGGCCTGATCCCAAGATGCCGACAGCATCTTGGTGTCAATCAAATTTCTACAGTTGTCATGGGCTGAACCTGGCTCTGTCTATACTTCATTGCTCTAGGATCTCAAAGAATTGGCTACAAAAGTGGGGAGCAGCAGGTGGTCATTATGCCTTCCATTATGCTTGATGCTGTGTGAGGGCCACCTCACTTCTAGCTAAAGCATCCCCTGCCAGGCACACAGAAATTCCTAATCAGAAGTGGCTCCTGTCACAGGCTGATTTCTGTCCCCTAAAATTCATATGTTGAAATCTCAATGCCTAGTACCTTGGAATGTGGCTATATTTGGAGTTAGAGTTTTTAAAGTAGTAATTAAGGGAGCATGAGGTCATTAGGGTAGGCCCTATTCCCATGTGACTGCTGTCCTCATAGGAGGAGGAAATTTAGAAGGAAGTCCATGTGGGGACACGGAGAATATGGACACCTACAAGCCAAGGAGAGAGACCTCAGAAGAATCCAATCCGGCCAACACCTTGATCTTGGACTGTTGTTGAAGCCAAACAGTGGGTGGGATTTCCTTATGGCAGCCTCAGCAGATCACAGCAAGTGTTTTCTCGCTTTTCTTCTCTCCAATATATCCAGCTACCTCCTTCTGTCATTCCCCCTCAACTATGGATAATTTACTGGCATTAAAAAGCACATTATGAAAAGAAAGTGCATTATGGGTCCAAGTGCAGTGGCTCACACCTGTAATCCCAGCACTTTGGGAGTTTGAGACCACCCTGGGCAACATAGTGAGACCCTGGATCTACAAAGAATTAGCTGGGCATGGTGTCATGTGCCTGTAGTCCTGCCTCAAGAGGCTGAGGTGGGAGGATCACATGAGCCAGGAGGGCCAGGCTTCAGTAAGCTGTGATCCCTCCACTGCACTCCAGCCTAGGTGACAGAGGAAGACCCTGTCTCAAAAAAAAAATGTGCATTATGGGATGGAGAGGTTGGGATGGGCCTTTTAACATATTTAGAGCTTAGGTGAGAAAGACTGGGGGCAGGAAGAGCCTTTCTTTTCCTCCAAGCAGCCCACCTCTCCAATGCCAAAGATATTTTGAGATTACAAGAAGCTCAATTCATAAGCCATGTCCACCTAGACAGTGGATAACTAGGTTTCTGGGACCCAGAATGCCTCTTCCACAGAAGCAATGTTTGTAAAAAAGAAGCTGGTTCCCAGGCTAGCCCACAAAAGCTGGTTCGGTCCATCACAGAGCTCTGATACCCTATTTCTCTCACTCTCTGCCCTGCAGACTAATAGTGTGATACTGGCTCAAACCTGATATTTAAACTCTACAGAAAAACAATCGTGAGTGGGGGACATGATTC